CGTAAGCGTCTCCAGAAAACATACACTCGCTGTATCTCGTACACGCGTTTCCAAGAAGCACATTAACAGCAGTTATCCTATGTGATAAAAACATGCCTTCAACACCTGCTCCCGACAGTGCAACAGGTATTTCAAAAGAATTTTTACTCACTATTCTATCACGGGTTGAGGCGAGATGAAATATGTGATAGTTAAAACATTAAAGTCCAACAAAACAAATGTAAGTCAAATCGTTCAAAAAAGAATGATCGAAATACGTTGTCTGACGGTTAGGACCAACTTGTTTTAACGTTAGATCGAACTAGAACAGTCTAGAGGTCAACCATCATCTATGTATCTATACTGTTAGACCTTGACTTAACGTACGTTCGCGAAAGGTATGTGTTGCGGTTGCCGAGTTCGACTATTACACGTCCTCCTATCATTAGAAAAGAATCGAGAATTCAATACCGTAACGAGAGTGGACTGTAGTAACATGACGAGAGACTGTAGTAACATGACGAGTGTCGACTGTTGTAACATGACGGGAGACTGTTATAACATGACAAGAGACTGTAGTCACATGACGAGAGACTGTAGTAACATGACGAGAGACTGTAGTAACATGACGAGAGACTGTAGTAACATAACGAGTGTCAACTATAGTAACATGACGGGAGACTGTTATAACATGACGAGACCGTAGTAACATGACGAAAAACTGTAGTAACATGACGAGAGACTGTAGTAACATGACGAGAGACTGTTGTAATATGACGAGTGTCGACTATAGTAACATGACGAGAGATTGTGGTAACATGACGAGAGACTGTAGTAACATGACGAGAAACTGTAGTAACATGACGAGAGACTGTAGTAACATTACGAGAGACTGTTGTAACATGACGAGAGACTGTAGTAACATGACAAGAGACTGTAGTAACATGACAAGAGACTGTAATAACATGACGAGTGTCGACTATAGTAACATGGCTAGAAACTTTAGTAACATGACGAGAGATTGTAGTAACATGACGAGAAACTGTGGTAACATGAGAGAGACTGAAGTAACATGATGAGAATGGACTGTAGTAACGTGACGAGAGATTGTAGTAACATGATGAGAGAATGTAGTAACATGACGAGAGACTGTAGTAACACGACGAGAGACTGTAGTATCATGACGAGAGATTGTAGTTACATGACGAGAGTGGACTGTAGTACCATGACGACAGTCGATCCAAAATAATTAATGTCGTAATAGATGTTTCACTTTCACGCCTATATTAGGATGAGAACCAGTCAAGCGGACTGAAATACCTGTCGGGGAATACCGTCTCAGCTGTAGACAGCCCTTTCCGCTTTGTTGAACAAATCTTTACAAACACAACGTGATCTCATTTGCGACACCTCCATTGACCTCACACTCATCAGCACCAGTTGGGACAGGTAGACAACGTCGGCAGCTTCAACGTGTCATTCATTCCGGAAAGTACCCAGGTTTCACGTCCAGTCTATCTCATTCACGTCAACAATGTGTGTAAGGTGAGGATGTTTTTGCCGGCTGTATAACCACTCGTGTGAAATAGTATCTGGAGTCGGTGCGTGGTTGCCCTATGTTAAATGTATAAAGAAATAGTATACATAAAGAAATATATAGATATTGTGGCAAGTGGTCTATACAATCTGTAAAATCGGCCTCCGCGAGCTTCACCAGTTCTGAATGTCCGTTTAAAATAAATGTCATTAAAATGCGGAGGCACACATGGTAAGACACGTGACACCCACCCGGGTTGTTGAACACACTTGGTCCGGGAGTTTTTATTAATGGGCGATCTTTTTCAATTTATCTTCCCTTCACTTACCCGCTAGGTGCGCTGACCCGGACGGTCCAACCTTAAACTGACGGCGCATGTGGTATGCGCGATACGAGCACTACATGTTACTATGTAGCCTATAGACAGTTAACTAGTATAACCTTCACCTCTGTCTGCAACAGTCACGCTTGTGTGTGGACAGCATATCTTTACGCCTAAACAATGATTTATCTATCGTCATACCCGGAAATAAATGTTCCTTGATTTAATGATACATCAGGGATGACCACGACTGATCATATTGTATAGTTATCCACTAGATAGGCGTTCGAAGCGATGCGGTGAGATCAGCTGATCTTTCATCCCAGGTCGCTTTGTTGACGTTTTGCAATCGGTACTGAAAGTGTTGCCCTTGATGTATGAATATGAAAGTTAAGTAGATTTTGTATACGTTCCTATATCTATGTTGTAGTATCGCCGAGCAGGCTACATCATATGCATGCATTTCAGTATGTACAGCGGTAAGGCGATGCGGTACGTGAAATGTGAAGGTCT